CAATCCACTCGAAGTTGTCCTTTATCTTGTCTGTCCCACTAGCTCTGGCTTCTGGCCTGATGTAAGCCGAAACGAAGATGACCTGGTGAGGCTGAGATTCGAGGGTTGTTCGGACGGCGACGATTCCTTTGTAGACGTTGCACCAAGTGCTTGTGTCGATTTGAACGTGGGGTAGTGTTTTCTGAAGTTAAACTAGCACCTGTCCTCGGGCTTCGGTGATCTTCCCGTTGCTGTATTTTCTGTGGATTGTTGGTGTATAAAAGTGGTGGTATTCAGCAATTTTGGGTTCTTTGAGGCTGACTTCTTGGCGTAGCATGGCTGTGTATGCGAAGCGAGGTTGGCCGATGCGTAGTAGAAGTTCTCCTTTCACTTTATCGAGCCCCCTGTAATTCCATCGGAGGATTTGGAAGTTGAGAGGCTCGGCCTGATGTTACTGGTTATTTTTGCCCATGTTCGGGAAGCAGGTTGGGGTTATTGCTGGATGTGCGAGATGAGGGACTGCAGCTGTGCCTGGAGCTGTGCTTGCAGTTGCATTTGCGATTGGGCAAACATTGCGTGAAGTTGCTCTGTTCTGACAAAGTTGTAAGGGCTTGTTTTGTTTTGGCGATTTTTGCCTGCCGAGAGGGGGTTGGGGGTTATCTTTGGGCTTCTGCTGCGGAGCCGGTGGGTGTACGACTTGGCGGACTGGTTGGGGTTGGAAATCCTTCTCTAAGTCTTCGAGTTTAGCGTGGAGGTTGGCTATCCTTTTCCTTCGCTCGGCTGCTTTCTGGGCGAGACGGGCTTCCTCTACCTCGTACTGCTTGAGGAGAGCGGTAAGCTTTCTTCTGGTCAAGGAGCGGGGTCTGAGACGCCATGCCTTGCATGACCTGTGCGTAAATGGTCGTCGTTGTAATGTAGGCGGAGGGGGAGGGGGGGGGAGATTCTGTTTGGGAGTCGGCAGTGGCGGAATCTCCTTCCGTGGCAGGAGCTGCAGCTGCGCTTGGCGCCCCCGGTTGGAGCGGGGGCTTAGTGTTTCTTGCGTCGTTTGTTTTTCTCTGCATTGATAGTAACGGAGCCTCTGTTGTGGGGGCGAGCGTCGGTCTGGGGAAGTTCTGGCTTGGATTTCCTCATCCATTTCGCGTCGTGTTGGGCAGTCTTTCGAGGTGGTGACGTCGTCTACAATCCGCAGTTCCTGCATTTGATGCTACAGCAGTTGTGATCCTTTTCCATGGTGTTCCCGCAAGCTCCGCGGCGCTTGACTTAAGTGTCACGGGCTCGGTCACATTTGTGACCGAGCCCGTGACAGTTGGTGCACACTATTGTGGTCAGCCGGTATGGTTTGACTTGGAAAATTTATTTGCAGTAGCGAATTCCCCTTGGAATGTCTTGCTTCTTGAATTTAAGTGGATATGCGCCGTGTGAGCCCAAAGGTCTGGCTTGGATTACTTCGCAGTAGTCAGAGCGGAGTCCCCGGAGGAGCTGCCGGGAGGTTAGGCCTGTCTCTAACTCGTAGATGACCCCACGTGGGAACTCTCCTGTTGTAATTCTGTATGCCTGTACCTCGATCCTCCCGTGACCGGTTTCTAGCTGGGTGACCTGAAGTAGCCTGGCCAGGTGCTGCTGACTGTACACCATCATGTTTGTGGAGGGGTTTAGCCGGAAGACTAGACGATCGTCAAGGACGTCCTCCCCGATGGCTTGTTGTAGCTTGTCCTGAATGATGGGCGCTCGAATTGAGGTGACGTCGAAACGACCCTTGGGTCTGATAGTAACGAGGAACTTCTCTCATTCGTGCCTTGGAAGTTTGCCTCCACGGTTCGCTTTGTGCGTACCTCGCCGTGAAACGGTGATCCATTGTTGCTCGGAGTCTTCTGCGTCTTGATAGTCGTCGGCTTCATCGTCGCCGAATTCGGAGCTACTAAACCTCTTCTGGGGCCGGCCTTGCTTGTCGGTGGATGCAATCGCCGGGAAGAGGAAGATTCTTGGACATAACCTCCATTTCAAAGCCTTGCGGGGTGGCGGAAGTCAATGCGAACGGGGAGGGAACGCTTGGCCTACCGTTAGGCCTAGCTTCCCTACGTGGCGGTCGGAGCTACCGTTGCTTGAAGAAGCTCGAAGTGTCCACATAAAGTACTCACGTTAAAAAAGCTGGTCACCTGCGGCAGAAAACGTTTCCCACGAAGGTCATCCTAAAGAACGGCTGTTAAAGCAGCAGGCGGTGGGTGGAACCCTGCAGCATGGCGGAGCGCCGAGATAACACGTCCTACCCTTTCGGCGGCTCGAACGGCTCTCTCCAAGCAGATTGGCGAAAAAAAAAAAAAGAAATCATACTCTTGGCTCTTAACTTCTAGGCTAGGTGGCGCAAGCTACCGCCCATTATAAGGTGGACAACCGTTAGCATCCATTCAATCATCCGTATGGCACGAAGCGTGTGATTGGATACCAGTCGCAACCGAACGCCGACGCACACCTTGCTTGCGATGCGAGATGTCTCGAGCTCACGCCGAACGCTGACACGGCCCTCGTGTCCACTGCATGCCCAAGGTGCGTGCCCAAGCGATGGACGACTTGGATAATTTGCGCAGAAGCTACCAGATGGCGCGCACATTTTAATGAGGGTTTATTGTGAGTCTTAGCATAGCGCTGCCGTAATATTGATACCGTTACCGCTATGCAGAAACTTAGCTGAGAACAGAATGTGCATGAAAGTTTTTAATTCACCGCCGCCTTACGCCACATTTCTTTTTTTTTTTTTTTTACACCAGCGTGGAATAAAATAGGAGGTTTATATGACTGACTCGATGCCAGAACGGCAGTAACGGTAACGGTATTACGGTAACGCTACGCTAAAACTATCTGATGCCGCGGCCGCGGACTCGGCAGTGGTCAATATGGCCACGGTCGTAACACTAGACCCCCTAACAGTCCCTGGCGGTGAATCTGTTTCTGACTCTAGGTTGTCATGTGACGGGCTGAAATAAGGTTGATCCCTTTAAAGATTAAAACAGCGCAAGGACACGGACAAGAACAAGAAGGTAGACAAACAAGCGCCTTGTTTGTCTACCTTCTCGTTCTTGTCCGTGTCCTTGCGCTGTTTTAATCTTTAATCATGAAATACCAACTAGCCCAAACTTCTACTTTAATCAACTTGATTCCCTTATTTGGGACGCTAACCTGTGCTCCTCCTCGTTCCAGAAGTTTTAAAAGGCGATGATTTGTTTGCGTGCGTCTCCTTCCTCTATATAAAAAAAAAGGCAATCAGAAATGTCGAGAGAACAAAGGAAGAGAACAATTAGAGACGATGGCAGCAACGAAACCGTGCAAACCAATGCACATCTCTCCTCCCCCTCAACCCCCCCCCCCCCCCCCCCTTAAATTCACGTCCTACCGCGGTAAACAGATATATTTCGAACAGTGAAGTTATGAATGCAGACTGTAATTTCTAAGCCGCCCAATCTCGTGGGGAATCGGGTATAGCTTACGATTTGTCAGGAGCTCGGGCGATGTTGCAAACGATGCATACCTAGTCAAGCTGTTCTTTAACAGCTTTTTGTATGGGCTTTCCCACCAGAGTTTCTGGAAACTAAACTTGATTTGATTTGATTTGATTTGATGGGCTATTAACGTCAAAAGTAAAAATGCTGCCGACGGGTTCTCACGCCGCCAGATTCCGTCTGAAACTGTATTCAGCGGTGAGGTTAATGTCGCTCAGGTCTTGTCCATCATGCTATGTCGCTAGAAAAGTGTCGTAGATTATGCACAAGAGGCTTGCGTTGCGGACGGGATCTTATGTCGTCATTTTAAGCGCGAGATGCACCTGCAGGGCCTGGATTGCGCAACTTGCGATCTATAAACAGTGCAGTGCTACTTCATTAACAGCACGATCACTAATAGGGAGTATTCACTTGACGCCATATTTGTGGGTGCTGTTTAGAGCGCATGCTTAGAACGAGCTCACATTAATAGGCTGCTAAGACCGCCACTCTTGATGGTGCGGAATGCACGTTGAAAAAGAACTGTGGAAGCTAGCCATCAGCACGCGCTCAGCATTCGCGCACACAGCTATGGCCGCCAGTGAATACTCCCTATAGGGAGTATTCACTGGCGGCCATATTCGTGTGCGCTGTTGCTGAGCGCGTGCAGACGGCTGGCTTCCGCAGTCCTTTTGGAGCGTGCATTTAGCACCATCAAGGTTGCCGGTCTTAGCAGGCTATTAATGTGAGCTCGTTCTGAGCATGTGCTCTAAACATCGCCCTCAAATATGGCGTCCAGTGAATACTCCCTATACCCTAGATACACGCAACGTTTTGTTGCACGCGCACACTTAACGGGAGTCAAAGCTATTAGCGCACGTGTCCTTGGGCGTCTTGAGCGTCCATGAACTCCGTGCATGCGCGCTGTTCACTCCTTCTGAAATACCTCTCCGAAGGTAAAGGGTGTTTTCACATGACGTCCATCCGCCATTTTGTTGTTAGATGTCGTAGTGATAAAACTTATAGGCTGCTCTGTACTATCAATTTAAGAGTGTGATGAGAATCTTCAAAGTGCTCGCCTCCTGCAGGCGCCAGGCTGCTCATAACAACAACAACAAAAAGATGGTTAGCGAAATGACGTCGTCGAAGGCATTTTGTGGTGTGTCAAGTGCGGTGACGCGTGATTGCAGTTAAGGGCTCTCGTATGACCAGGGTATCAGCGAGCAATGGATCACGTAAACCTGGAAGCTATAGTAAATAGTTAATTATTTTTTATTGCACATTTCATGAAAACAAAGGGCTCGAGCTAATGTGTAAAAAAAGAAAAAAAAAGAAACCTACTAGGTGTTAATATTTCTTTAAGCAAAGTGCGAGGCCAAATTTAGTCCCTCCCTGAGGTTTTTAGGCTTATGCACATATTCTCAAAGACCGTTGTCTTTGTGCTTGGCATGTACCTCCGTTCAAAGCAAGCTCATGTTCACCTCTGCTTTCCCGGGTAACAGGCCACAATCTTCGTCCGCTGTTCCTGGTACCGAACGTCAGAGAGACATGCAGGGAATCCCGCTGTTGTTACCGTCACTGGTGCTGCTGCTCACTGCCGGCCTCTGCCACTGTCTCGTCCAATGCCCGTTGGAATGCCGTGGCACGGGCTGGATAATCGTGCCCGGCAAAGGTCTCGAGATAATCGAAGGGCCCAAAGTGCAGGCTATTCTGACGGTCATCAAAAAATTACGGAAAATCAAGCCAGGAACGACGACTGTCAAAGTGACCATCGGTGGTCACGACCTTCGGGTACCGCCGGGAACACAATTCACAATCTTGGATACCATTAAGAAGTTTCCTGACATAGGACAAGCATTGACATGGATCATCAATAGTAGCGGCGCAAGCGGGCAGCCGCCTACGGAGAACCAGAAACCGTGGTTCCCGGAAGATCTAGTACCGGACATATTCCAGACATCTTCATCGCCTTTGAAACCGCAGGTTTCCGAAGCCCCAGCGCCACCGCCGAATCAAGAAGTTCCGGAAGTCCCCTTCCCTATTGAAGAACCATTTTCGGAACCACGCCAAGTTTCAGAACCTCCCCATGTTTCGGAAATTTCCCAAGTGCCGGAAGCTCCTCAAGTCCCGAACGCTCCCAAGGTCCCAGAAGTTCCCGAAGTACCGGAAGCTCCACAGCTTGACGAGCTGACGGAAGTTCCCAAGCTCCCCAAGGATAACACGCCTTTCGACGTAGAATCTTACTTGGATTTACTTCAGAAAAACCCGGACCTTTTCGTTCTTGTCTACTGGATGCTCGTGCGCCACGGTGTTACCTTCCCTAACCTGAGCAAGCCAGTTACCTGGGTAATCGTCAACGGCAAGAGGGTCCCCTTGCAGAAGCCAGTGACCGTTCGGTACATTATCACTATCGAAAACCACAAGTTTGAATTACCGAAAGATAAAAAGAAATTTGCAGATTTTATTTCAAAAAATCCGAACCTGTTGCCCCAAATTGCTACCATACTCCAACAGTTTGGCGCAACCTTTGTCACTACCGCCAGCGGCCAGATCACGGGATATAAATTATTTAATAAGGTTACCAGACTGCCGAGACCCGTGAAGGCCACAGTCACGATAAACGGACGAGCGTTCGAACTTCCTCGTGATATTGTCGATCTCATCGGAGCGGTACAAGATACCCCTAAGTCTCTACACATGATATTACCTTTGCTGACCTCTTACGGCGTGCGCATCAAGAAGGGGCCAAACGGTGAAATTCATTACTTAACGCTCAACGGTAAGACGTATCCGGTACGGTATGTGAAACCAGTGAAGGTGACCATAGACAACATTCAGTTCTCAATTCCAGCCGACTTGAGAGTTATCCTCTCCCAACCCAGCAAGCTCTGGATCGGCCAGCTCCTATCTGAATTACAGAAGCAGCACGTCCCGATAACGGTGGACCCGCAAACCGGCAATCTTGTTGGCATCGTCATAGACCAAGTCCCCATTCCATTCCCAGCAATAGTGCGACTGCGTGTGAAACTTGGAAATCGCTACTTTATTATCCCCAGAGACATTCCAGCTATGATTGATTTTCTAAAGACGAGCGGTCTACCAAGCGAGGTCTTGAACGACCTGTACAGCCTCTACGGAATCATTCCTGTGCGCAACGCTGACAAGCTTGTTGTTGCCATAGAATTCAACGGAAAACGGTATACTGTTCCGCAGCAGAAGACAACCACACTGGTGGTATCTGGCCAGACCTTTGTGCTTCCCAGAGATAACGCCAAGCTGGCTGAAATTCTCGTAAACCACAAGATTCTACTAAAGGACTTCCTGCTTCAAATTCAGCTGGCTGGTTACAAGTTACTGGCCGGGCCGGACGGGGTGCTTTCTTCCGTCCAGAAAGGATTCGAGATCTTCGAACTCCCCGTCACCATCCGATTGGTGGTGACCATCAACAACGACCGCTATCGAATACCCAACGACTTGCCGAACCTCGTCGCTTTCATGAGCAAACCCGAGCACAGCCACGTAGTCGAGCAAATCGTTCAGAATCTCATAGAGCTAGGAGTACAAGTGAAACGCGACGGCGGGAAGATTGTCCTGGTTTTCAATGGACGCGAGTTCAACGTGGGGGGTGAGGCAGGGCCCTCTCCTAAGCCGGTTCCTGTGAACGTCCCTGGAGAGTCCACCATGAGGATCCAGTTCAACGGCCAGTGGTTCAAGATTCCGGACGAGTTCGACAGCCTAGTGACCACCGTCAGGAAGGGCGGCACCGGGGCGATCGCATTCCTTGTTAAAGCACTGGGGGAACACGGTATCCTTGTCAGCAGGTCACCAGACGGCGACATCGCTTCCATCGTGTTCCGGGGCAAGACGTACACGTTCCCGCGAGGCACAGGCGCTGGCCCGAGCAACGTGGAAGTCGTCATCCGCGGCCAGAAGTTCCTCATTCCGAGGGACTTGGGCGTTCTTCCGACTCAAGTCCCAAACTTCCAGTACGGCGAGCTTGTGGTGGCTTTGCACCGACTGGGAATCTCGCTCGTGGTCGACGACAGGGGCAACTTTTTCGGCATGAAGGTCGGCGGAAAGCTGGTCAGGTTCGGGGTCACGTTCAGGGTCGCCGTCATCCTGGACAACAGTGGGACGTCCTTCGGAGTGCCGCACCAGCTGGGGGCGCTTGCAGTAGGACTGGCCAACGGGAACTGGGACTGGAACGCCGTCCGGAGGGTGCTGTATGCCTCCGGGGTGGAAGTGAGGGGCGGCGTCGCGGGGGCGCCGCGGGAGATAGGTTTCCAGGGAAACTTCTACAAGATCCAGAGAGGCACCAAGGGCTAGACCCTTACACAAGCAACACGATTGTAATAAAAGGCATTGTTTCTTTGTTCGTTCCACGTGTACGAAACTTCGTTTCGATTCGTTGTTGCTTAGAGTTAGCCTGCATCATCTGCCTTGAAGGCAGTATCCTCACACAGCCCCTTCCCATCGGTAAAAGTGAGTGAATTTTAAACAACCGCAACTCCTGTGTCACTCATTCTGGGTATATTCCTAGCGTGTCCTCACTATGGGGTTATCTCAGCTGCCTTGGCGGTCAGCTTCGCAAACTGCAGCTGCAGTTGAAGTGCTGCTCCACTTTTGCCTGCCTTCTACGTGAAATTCGCGACCGCTGCACCCGACACTAGTGACATGTGAGATGGCTGCAGAAACGTTGTCTAAACGTTCCCTTTGTCGGAGATACGGGCGCGCAGACCGATTGCCTAAGAACTTTTTACCTGTAGAGATCATGCTTCTTTCCGAGGACCGGTGACAAACAATGTTTCCAATCACCGGGACGTGAGCAATAAAAGGAAAACTAGATTTCGGTCGATGTTATTGACATAGCGATGAAAACAAGGGAAGTAAATAGTGAAAACAAGGCTAGAAGATGTAATTTGTTGTATGGATGTTTAGACGTCGCCGCGTTACTCTATCATTAGGGGTGTCTGACCTTTGCGCCGTGGTTCCGAAATTTAGCCAAAGCGGTACAACCACCGAGATCTTAAATGTGTACACACACGACGCACTTGCCCGCGAACAGGTACCTACCAAATCTGTGATGCCACTTTTTCTGGGAACGTTTCCACAGGAACGTTTCTGGAGACCAGAAACGCGTCCGAGGATCCCAGGAATTTTGTGCATTACATAGAAAATAACTTTTTTTTTTTAATAATAAAACAGGTCTGCATACCTGCCGGCAGACTTGTACGTAATCCGTTACAAGTAACGAAATTACTTGTATTCCCTTACTTTTATCAGTAATTTTGTAACGGAATAATTACATATCTTCTAGAGTCATTTTAAAGTAATTCCCTTACATTTTTGACGTAACCGATTCCTTGTAATCCGTTACTTTTTTTGTCGGGACCAACCCCCCCCCCCCCCCCCCCGCCCCCATTTTAAATAAAAAAAATTTTTTTTTTTTTTTTTTTTTTTCTTTTTTGTAAAGTCGAGCGCAGTGACACTTTCACACAAATCGACCAGCGCAGCCGCAAAGGAGGCTTGGCACTCTTCAGTTCCGCAAAGCCTTTTTTTACAACACCAAGCCCCTGAATCTCTCTTTTTTTTTTTTAGACTCAAACATCAGTGTCAAAAAATACAAATGAACAATTCGCGAAAAAAAAGGGGGGGAGGGAGCATGTTATTTCCGCTTTTCTTTTTTTAGTCAATTTGTTTTTTCTTGGCGATCGAAGACGGGGAGAGGAGGACACCAAGTGTTTGTGCTCCTCTTCGAGAAGCTCGAGGCGGTAAGTGCACTGAAAAGAATTAACAATGTCCTTCTCGGATATAGTGACTCCAGCCATTTTCATAATGTCACAACAGGAGACAACGCTCCGTCTACCCTGTCCTTTTTTGTGAGTCAGCTTTTTGCAAGCATTTAGAAAATAGTAATATTCTTCCTTTCTTCTTCTTCCTGTTTTGCCTCAGCAGGACGCATCTCATCTCAAGCAGATATTTTTACAATAAAACATAATGGTGGCTGACGTAGACTTGATATTCTGGACTTGAGGTGAGAGTGAAACTCGTGAGTGGGGCCATAACGCGGCTTACTTAGTACTCTACACCTTGCTGCCCGTGGCATCAGTGGACGTCTATCTGGAGAACACCGGAGTAAACTGCAGTCTGTTCGTGCTCCGTGCGTTTTTGAACGGCACCAAGAAAAGTACACATGGCGACATGCGTTTACATTTCCGTTTTAACCGACGTTCTAATTAATTGTTGTTATGAGCGTCCTTCTTTTTCTTTTATTACTTATATTTATATACAGGATACTTTTTTTTTTATTCACCAACGTCTCAAGTGAGGCTCGAACTGTTCAGAACCAAAGGAAGAAGAATATCGAGCCAAACCTTATTTATTATTTTATTATCACCTTACTGTTACAACTATGTTTTGCTATTGATGACTTCTACAGCTTCGCGATTTAGAGATTGAACAATTTTAGTAGATCGGTCCGATGACTCCGATAACGATATCCGATACTTCACCGCCGTCTTTGCGTATACATCATATCGTTATCTGGTACCGTTATCGCGGGTATCGGAGGTATCGGAAAGATCTACTAAATCTCTCGAATAGCAGGCAACGGCTGCAACGACGAAGCTTTGCTCTACATTCGAGGTAATTAGTACTTCCTTTGCTTCGCTGAAGAAGCTCACTGTAGAGCATAAAGCATTCCTGAGGAACAATATAGGGCACTCCCATCCAGTGCCTCAGCTCAAATGGTGTTCAGCGTAGCAGTCGACATATTCAGTAATAGATAATGCAAAATGTCTGACGAGACATTCGAGAGCCAGCTGTTGCTCAAAATACTCAAGGTCATTAAATGGAACAGGTGGCAAGAATAAGAACTGGAATAACCCTCTTCCCTTTGTTTCTTACTTGAGGACAATAATGTCAAAAGTAACGCCACGAAAGTAACGGATTACTTTTTGGGGTAACGGTCAGTTACTTTCATGGGAGGGTAATTGTAATTGTAATAAATTACAATTTAGCCTTGAGTAATTGTAAATGTAATTCCTTACTATTTTTCAGTAACGCGTACAAGTCTGCCTGCCGGACTAGTTCATGGTAGTCCGCGGTAGGTCTGCGAAAACGCTGGGAACCGATTGCGGCCAACTACACTCGTCCTATCTGTTTGTTTGTTGCATAAGCCTTTCACCTGCGTGTAGACCTTTTCAGCGTCCGTGTACATGGCGCGTGCTCTGCTCGCCTTGCAAAGCAACAAACACGCGCGTTCTGAGCTGTCCGTTCGACAAATATGTTTCTTACGACAATTGTATAAACGCACTACGCCACTTACCTCGAAATGTAAAAAACTCAGAGCCCGAAAGTATTAGTGACGAAAAAGAAACGAAGTCTCCAGACTTTGTTTCTTCTTATTTTCCACATTGCGGCGTTCGGCGGTTGTGATGAGGACGTTGAGAGGGGTACGGACCATAGAGTTATTATCATGTATGCTAGAGCATAGGCTAGAGGTTCAACTGGCGCTAGTGTCTATGCGACTTGCAACAAAATGGTGAGTTGGGCCAGTTGGTTCATAATGGAAAAAGACAAGCGCCGAAAGACCAGGACAAAGTAAGAAGACGACAACACAAGGCGCTAAAAAACACCCACGTCACTTTCCACGTGCCCACTCTTTATCCAAGAATAGACACTCTTTTTCTGACAGAGTCACTGAAGGCTCGCTTATGCACTTATCTGCACCCTTCCTTATTGCATACGCCTCATGAATTTCCCTTGTAATCTTTTTGCTGTATCGCCCCAGGATTGCCACGTTATTGAAAACTGGTGTGCACTCACATCGGTTGCAGTGCACAGCCAGGTGCCCCGAAGGTGACTGTTTTAAGGAAGCAGCATGCTCTCTTGCGCGATCATCCACACAACGCCCAGTTTGGCCTACGTAAGACCTACCGCAAGAAAGCGGAATGTCATACACAACACCAGTGTGACATTCTACAAACTTATTCTGGTGTTTTTTCTTACACTCGTCAGTGTTCCCTTCGGGATCATTGATTTTCCTGCATAACGCAGAAAGCTTTTTAGGGGCTGAAAAAACGACAGGAACGTCGTAACGTTCCGCCACCTTTTTTAAGTTATGAGACACTGCGTGAATGTAAGGCATTACAGCGGTTCTTACTTTTTGGCGTTCAAGAACGTTTCTTTCCGCACCCCTAAATTTCTTTTTGAGGCCCTCTGCAGCTTCAACAATGGATCTCAGCGGAAAACCCGCACTTGCGAGCCGATCTACCTGTAAAAGGAAACTCCTTCCCATTTCCTCAGGACAGGATTTGTTCAGAGCGGCTCCGAGGCATGAAGAAGCAATACCTCTTTTCACTAACTTGGAGTGGGAAGAATTAAAAGGGAGTACAGCTTTCTTGGAGCGAGGTTCGTAAGCCCAGCACACATGGTCATCTAAGAATTTTAGTTTTAAATCCAAAAATTGTAACGAGCCCTCCGTGGCCCTCTCATGAAATGAATTTTAACCCATGAGAGCAGGACGTGAACCTTGCCGATCACGTCAGCCACCTTGTTATCAGTGAGTTTGTTCCCTGGGAGGGCGATGACCAGATAATCATCAACATACCTGTATATTTTAAAAAGACTATCACCTCCGAGCTTTTCAAGAATAGCGCGGTTGCAGTGTGCCAAAAAAATGTCGCACAGAATAGGCGCAACCCGCGAACCGATGCAGATACCCCGTTTTTGCAAAAACACCTCTCCACCAAAGGAGACATAGGTGTGGTCAAGGTAAAAAGATAAGAGTTCAACGAAACCTTCTACACTTATCCCGCAAGTGCTACGAAAGGCTGTTTCACCGCTGCTCTCGATGCAACTTCTAACAGTGTTAAAGAGGACGGCATGCGGAATTGAATAAAAGAGATCCTCAACATCAACTGAAAAAGCGTCGCACTTCCCTCTACACCCTTCTTTCAAAAATTCAATCACTTCTTCTGAATTCCGGACCAAAAACTCATCCTGCAGTTTTAGGCTCGATAGGTGGGTGCGGAGAAACGAAGATACCTGGATCTGCCACGTATCTCTTTAAGTAACGATTGCTCTAAAAGGTACATCTGCCTTGTGGGTTTTTGCCGTAAAAAACAGGTCCAAGGCAAGTTTCTTGCTGGAATTCACCTTCCTCTCCAAGGCGGAGAGGGACAGTTCGCTGCACAGTTCTTTCGCCCTCACCTTCACCTTGTTCAGGGATCCTGGCCGTGCGTGCTTGAAGTTCTTAAGGACAGCTTGCTCGGCCTTTTCCCAGTGTAGCGCCTTGTGTTGTCGTCTTCTTACTTTGTCCTGGTCTTTCGGCGCTTGTCTTTTTCCTCTATGCGACTTCCGTGACGCAAATTG